GTGTTTTTCGGAGATGTTTGCTTGTGGATCCCGATTGAGACGTTCTCTCTTGCCTATTCTCTCTTTTGTTGGTCCTAAGGGACAATGAGAGTCTTCGGGGAGGCTGACCTTTGCGGACGGACACGCAAGGGTGCCGCACGACTTAGGCAAAACCAGCTAAGTCCGTGTCAGTACGTTAGGAACATATGGATCTTACACCAGTTCATGATATTGGTTATTATAGCCCAATCTACTGGTGCACTACATGTGAACTGCTAAGCCCCTTTCATGGCCATCTACAGCATATGAGAAGGACTATGTTGCCATCTTGAAAAGATCAAGGTTTTGCCCTCAACATAAGTTATAGCTGTGGTACGGTGGTAAGCACTTCGATCCTACAAGTAGTACCGGTGGGGTTTAAGGTTAGAGTCCACTTGGTTTTGCTAGGAGAAGGGAAAGATTGTAGCTTTATGGAAGATCAGTACCAACTTATAGTCTAGTTTACCCATACACGCATAGCACCAGTGCTTGATAGTGCAACATGATGGTGTACCACATGCACATTTCAAAGCCCCTTAGGCTCATATGTAGAAAGGAAGAAAGATTCTGTGCTTCCATCTTCTAAGGATTAACATTGCACCCAAAGCATACACAAAAGCTCTTAATGTAGTGTTACTGGTAATCACAATAGATCCTTTCAATGTTCTTGCTGAGATATTAAACATATAAAAAGAAGAGGTATCTTGCAGTGTCATGAATAAGATCACAAATACAGTCTTCGTGAAAAAAAAGGGCAGAAGTTAACATATAAAATATTTTCTCATCATTGTGCAGATATGAAATTCTCATACTCCAATATAGATAACTCAACACAAGATATTCTAAAAATCAATAAACCAGCAAAATTTACACGACTATGTAAACTCACTTGATGTTGAATTTAGAGCAGATAAATGAAATCATGCAACTGTGTGAATATTGGTCAATTCTATCCAATAAGCAGCTTTAGGCACCATCATGGCAAAGTATCTGTAGCACTCTAGAAATATCGATAAAAAAATTTATGTACATCATAGAGGGATCATGTAAGTACCATCTTTTTTTTCTGATCTAAAGCATTTATTGCAAAACTATGCATGTGATGCAAAAAATAACTTCATCCTATGAGTGCTGAATAGGAGATAAGACACTAAGAAAAAAAAGGGGAAAAAAACATACTTCAATGACATTGGAAGTAGAAATTGCAGCCCTCAAATTGTTATTTTCCTGCAAAGATCAAAGCAAATTAGCAGGAATTTTACACGCTGAGGGAGAAAGACGCTCCTCTCTCTAGCAACACCAACAATATATATTTAATTTTAGGATTGTAGAGCCTTACAACAAGTTTGTAACCATATCTAAATGATGTAGCAGATCGCAAAACACGGTATTGTTTAACTGCTGTCTTTTGTATTTCCTTCTCATCCTGTTTACGCATGACAAGAAATTTACTTACATTGAAAATTTAAAAGCTTCTAAAATAGACTAGAAATTATCACAATGAACTTCTTAAAAACAAAATGCAAAAATCTGATAAAGGATAGTCTTCTTTATAAAATTCTTTAAGTTAGTTGCATCATGTTATTCTGTGAGAACGTGGTATCTTACACAGTTCAAGCTGCACGCAATGGTATAAGATAACTCAAATGATGAAATGGCTAAGCAATCATAGCCCACTAGTTCTTCTGAGGTTGTGTAGATTCAACACCACTTGTAGGATCAACTCATCCCTTAATGGATCATGTAGATCAAACAAGAAATTCCCAAAATTTTTCAGGGAATTGTTTGGACCTAAATACCCCAAACTCGGTGCAGATACAGACTTGAAGGCTGGTGTGGGTTCAAGAATGAAGCAATGTCAAAACATCTAGGAAGCATGCATATAATGAATACATGTGTGTAGGATAAAACATTCAGACAAGTGAGCTTAGTTTTAACTATGCTTTTCCCATTTTATTTGTGTCCAATAACTAACATACAAGAAAAAGAAAAGGTTTTGAAATCTACATCGGATTGTGGTGCCATATTCCTTAATATACAGGATACACTACAGGATACACAAAATAATGATTCTGAATATAAGGAATCATGATTCGCATTAAGCTTCCAGACAGTGGAGATTCTAGAACTGGTGCATCCGGGCTTATTCAAGATTCATGCTATTCTAGTTCAAACTCGACTAAATCTGATTGGAACTCAGCTGGTCTAAGTCAACATTGATGAAATCTGGTCAATTCAGACTAATTTCTAGCCAATTCATGGCTGTATTATTCTCAGCAGGTTCTGACCACTGCTAGCTGTTTCCAATGAATTTATGAATCCAGAAAATTCTGTATAAAACCAAGCAATTACTAAGAAATAAACGACATTCTTTTATCAAGATAAATCTAGGACAAGAATAGCACTGGTATAATCTAAAAGAGAAAGATCTGCCTAACAAACACTACCAGCAACCAATTATGTGAATTTAACTAAAAAACATGAAAGACACCAGCGAACAAGGAAACAGTTCCGATTATATTCCATCAAGCTCACAGGAGATACCCTTTTTATCAAGATAAATACTTAAAGCACTATATGTAACTGTAATCATAAGAGGAGTGAAGTTACAACTTAAAATCATATGAAGTTGCATGATTATCATCTTTGAGATAAGGTGTTAGATCCAAGAATAAGGTTGTTGATACACAACTATTCCTATAATTTAAACCAAATAATGGTAATATAGAGATATGAAGTGAAATGATTTCCTAACCAACTAGCTTGCATCATATGGGTTAATGCTAGCAAGCAAGAATATGAATGTGCTGGATAGGCTAGGAAAATTGAAGCAAATAAAATACAATGATTTCGAGAACAATTCAGTCACATCTAAACAAAAACAGAGGAGAGAATTATGATATAACAAGTGCTATTTCATGCATGCATAAGTTAGAATGATGATTTTCACTCATTCTCTGCTATGCCTATGTTTCCCACAAATCCTAAAAACTATTTCTTGCAGCTTTGGAAGGTGTAAAGGAGGGTTCATTAAAACCTGATTTGTTAACTTTTAGTGAATACTTGTGTTGAAGTTCAATGGTGACAATGGAACAGGGAGTCAAGGATTGATACAGAATTGATAGAGTTTCAGGGGAGGATTCAATATAAGTTTCACTAAGACTATGTCTAACACAGAAAGGAAAAGTTGTGTTCAACTTAGAGCAGACACAAAAGGTATGGCATAAGAGCTGAGCGTCTTAACTGACCCATATAAGCTGGAAAAAGAAAAGGACAGCTAAACAATCCAAGCATCATTGTGGACAACATAGTGAATAGTTTATCTTCATTCTTTTATTCATAGAGTAGGTGGTTGAGAAAATGAAGGACATGAGAGATACCAAGAGAAAGCATTACTCTATATATAACAGCTGCAATATTTCGAGCAATGGTGTCTTTGTAGATATATTTTCCAAGAAAGTTATCTTTTGCTGCCACCATAATCTTCGCAGTTGTGCCGCCACTTATTATACTAAGCGGGTACCAAAGATACACCTGCAAAATTACCACATCATATGCCTTCAGTTTGTGATTAACAAATTGAATGTCATTAGATACATAAGATCCAACAAAACAACAAGCTTTGTGAGGTTTACCCATCTCCTTTGAACACTTTTTGTGTCAGGTGACTCTAAAGCGCTTCCAACGCATATTTATTTGTGACAATGATGATGCAAACTATTATCTTTCTTATGATACGTTGCTCATCCTTAGGTGTCCAAGTATGGGTTGAACAATATCATCAAGTAGGGTTCTGCTGTGTACCAAAAATAGTTGGTCCTTTCAGCAGTTTCACTCACTCTAGTGAAGCTAATGAATCAAAAAATTGGGCTTGCCAATTGCCCTCTCCTTCATGGGCGTAGGCCTATCAACATGCTTATCTGGATTCAACTTTTCTTGAATACCTTTCTAAAGAACTAAAATTCGCTAAATTTAGTGACAAAAAATGAGCTTCCCTCTAGACTTGTAAAACCCAATGTTTATCAATCCGAAAAAAGCAATAACAAAATCAGCAAAATTTAAGGCTTTGATTGAAAATTATCATTATATTTCCTCGATCTTGAGGACAGAAAAGAAAGAGAGAGAGAAAAGAAGGGGGGGTGGGGGAATGCTGATGACACGATACGTTGGAGGTGCGGATGAAGACAACGAAACGAGGGTTGCCGTCGTCCTCGATCTTGGGGAGACGGGGAGGGGGAGGGCGCTGGGACTGCCGACCCGCCATCATCCCCCTCTTCCCCTTGGCTTCCACAACCAGCAGATTCCGCCGCCGCTGCTGACGCTTGTTGCCGGTCGTGACGCTGGCAAGGGGCGAGCCGCGCAAGAAGAAGCGGGCGTCTTCCTGAAGCAGCGCTCCTTTCGGGTTGCAGGTAGGAAGCCGAACGAGCGAGCCCATCGACATGGTCACCTCGATCCTCTTCTCCTCCTCTCGACCCCCGTCTCCCTCTCCCCCCTCGGTTTCTTATCCAAACGTTCGCTCTCCTACTCTGGTTCGAGTGGGGCCCGCCACAACAAACGTGGGATTGACCCAACAGACAAGCCAAGTGTCTTTAGACACCACTCGTTCACTTGCCACGTACATTTCTTTAGTGTTTTTTATGGCTCATAATATTTGGACTTACCATTACCACTAATTCTCACATTGCCTGCAAGATTGCACGGCTCATAGTATTTACTGTATTATGTAGTAAGAAATAATCATACAAGAAAGTCAAAATAGTAACAGTTGACATACTCTGTTTGAGTCAATATACTTCGTTTAACTTCAGATAACATTGGATTAAGATTTAAAATTCAGCTTCAAATTCTTTGAATCTCTCCTTCATCAATAGGAAAATGATGGGAATTAACAGTATTTTGTAGTAACAAAATGAGGTTGACCTGCAAACAAGACACAGTAACAGTTGACCTGAAATATTGTATTTGAGTCATAAATAATTCATTTGAATTCAGAATAACATTGGATTAAGAGTTGACCAACTAGCACAAAGATTTCCACGGTTCCTACCTGATTCTTTGAATGACTGTTGACTCACTCTCAGAGTCAACGTGCCGTGCCATTTCAATTGGCAAAGAGAATGCAGCAGAGCATTGTCCGTCAACAGGTCAATCAATCGCTATGTTACGTTGTTCGGCCCCTTAGGCGACCGTAGACGGTCATGGAGGCGGCAGCTCTAAGATTGGCTCGAGCAGAACGGAGTGCGCGTAGCTGTTGCTCGCGGCTGCCTTGAAATGCCACCCTGAATTCTTCCCTTTGCAACCTCAAAGCCATGGCTGCGTCCTCCGACTGGCTCGGGCCAATCCTTCTTCTGAAGCTCCTGGCGTCTCTCTCCGTCACCTGGGAAGAAGCTTGAGCTGCACTTCTCCTGATGCTTCTGCTACTGATGTTTCTGTTGCTGTTGTTCTGTTCAGAACTGCTGCTCTGGGTTTTGCCACCAGGTGGAGTAGCAGCGACTGCGCTGCTGCTCTTCCGTGCTTCCACTTCTTCAGGGAATAGAAGCTGAATTGTGTTCCACAATACTGTGTTTATAGTGCAAGATCTCGCATTGCTGCAACAATGGCGACTTCCTCTCAGATGAAGATGGAGCATATTTTGCTGAAGCCGAAGAAGAAAGAGCAGTAGCAAAGATACCTTATCAGTTGCCTACATTTTGGGCATTTCTTTCCGCATTTATTAGCGGCAGATTTCAAGCATTTGATGCAAAAGCTGCGAATAAGAATGTGATCTTTATCAGTAAGATGATGCAGCATTGGTTTTCATTTTGAGAAAAGGAAGCAAATGTAGTATTACTTAATTGGACAATTATGAAAGAACAAATAATATCAAGTTCATTAGCCAAATTCCCTTTCCATAACTTGTCAGTTCTTTGTCGAGGGAGAAGATATGGATGCCAAAAAAAAATTTAGAAATCAACCATCAAATAAATAATTTAAAGTAAAGATGCACATGGTTCAACAATTTTTACCGACGGTGAACAGTTCAAATCCTTCACCACATGAGATTGTCAATTATAAGGAATAAGTGTTTCTTCTTTGTTAATCCAAATTCAAATCTAAGATCTCACATAAATCCTTAAAAACTTTCGCTTGATCTTTTTTAGAGATACTTGAAGAAAAAATCAAACCTTAATTCTAAAAGTTTTCTTTGCATGCTTAAGTATCCAAGTAATTTGATTCATATTAGGATTCTAAAACAATACTTATCAACCCTAACACTTAATTGGACAGTAACAAAAAATTTCTGACTATAACAAAAGAGTAGCCAAACAAAATATTGAGTTCAAGGTTCAAATTTCCTTTCCATAACTTGTCAATTCCATGTGCTCAGGCACAATATGGAAACTAATTAGCTAATCTTCAATTTTTGTGTAATTCTATAATCCTTCAAAACACTGTAAGAAACCAATGTATACCTATGGTTACATTAAAAATGTACCAAGGAGAATTTTTTTGCTTGCACAAAGTAGACATCAAGGCAATTGCATCTGATTCCACATGGACTCTCTTTACTCCTTCCCTCACAGCATTCATCAGCCCTCTTTGATGCATAAGAATTCATAATTCCATATACCTTAGGACTTTGCAGAAAGGATGGTGAAAAAAAGAAATAGTAAAGTGAAGGCAAGTTAGAAGCAGGATAATTAGTAGTTCTGTCTTTAAATTCACAAGTAATTCTCAAGCTTAAGTAGATTATAGTGTCTTCTTTGGAGAAATCCTAAATTCCCACCTTACTCATTCTTATTCATGGACTAACAACAACTATTTACCAATCACAGGAACAAAGCAGGATGAGTAAGCAGAGTGTAGAACAATTCTAGGGTTTGATTTGTTTTCCTAATCTCATGCAACATATTCAAAGCAAAGAAGTTGACATGTTTAACCCAATTGCAAAACTGAGGGCTTTGGTTTTCTCTTCAAGATCTTAGCCATCACATCAAAGAACAAATCCATTTAACTCTACATGACGATCACCAGTTGGGATATTACCTGTGCCCACAAGGAGTAGTGCTTGGCTCAAAGCAAATCTCCAGACAAATCTGCATCAAAAGAAGCCACCTTGATGATTACAAAAGAGGATGTATTTACTCCTGGTATTAGTCAAAGAGTCAGATCAAGAAAAGCCTCTTACAGCGCAGGAGAGCTCTTCCCTCAACCGATCCATGCACGGCAACCCCTTGATCGGTGCCTTCTTAGACAAAGATCCTTCTTTGTCTATCTGCTTTGCTCCGTCGACGGCCACCACAGCCTCGGTCTCTTTGTTGGTTGTCTCACCGCCACGATCTGTTCAAAGAACCATATTCTGTGGGAAAAAGAACACGCCAATCCACAGAAAGACAGCCGAGGAGAAGAGAAAAAAAAAAACCATACCAGCGGCTTGTTCTTCGTCGTCGTCGTCGTCGTCGAGACGAAGCACCACGGGCGGAATCGAGACCGCAGGCTTCCTCCGCGGCGCCCGCTTTCTGCAAAAGGGAAAAGATCAAGAACTGGTAGACAAGAGAATACGGGCGGAGGAGGAAGAGGATGGGATTGAAGACCTGGTGGAGGTGGTCGATAAGGGGGTCCTGAGGCGCCTCCGCTTGTGCTGACGGGATTCCCTCACGGGCGTGTCCTCCACGACGACGGTCGCGAAGAGGAGGGCTTCCTCGTCCCACCCGGCCATGGCGGCAGCGGACCGAAACCCTGGGCTCAGAAGCATGCCGCAGCCGCTGTTGGTTCTCTCGGTGGGCGTTGGGGATTGTCGGGGCCTCTCGTCGAACACCGATAAAACGCGAAGAAGGGAGAGACGCCAACGGTCGAATTTTTTGAACGAGGCGGCGGCCAACAGACTTTGCATTTGACCTTCATTTTATATATATATATATGTATATATGTATATATGTATATATATATATATATATGTATATATATAGATATATATATATAT